AGGGGGGGGGGAGGGAGAGAGAATGAGAGATAAGGACAACAGATACAATTTGAGAGGAAAGAAGGAGCAAACAAATACCAGAACACCCGCCAACCACCCATCTTCTCCTATTGGAAATTCAAAGCGTTTAAATTAGTGATATGATGTTATCTTATTGAACTTTGCAACCTGCCTCTGATAACAGATTGTTTGTGGGAACTTGCTGTCGTAATGTCATTTCTGAAGATTTTCTGCGTATCATGACAACAGCACTATGTTTAGAATATTAATAAACAGGCCTAAATAGCACGCTAGGTCTTCAGTTCTCCTGTAATTGCAACTTTCACTTTCCCATTCACTTTCACCAAGAGTGCAATATAATAAATAATCAGGTGTTTGCCCTACAGTCTGCACCTCCATTGTCGTGCAGGATTCACTCGCCGAGAGGCGTCTGCTTGGAATCTCGTGTCGTGCAGATTGCTACACTTTGACTTGTTCGGTAAATAAAGACACATTTTGTGACAGTTTTGTTAGTAGAGTAAGGGACGGATATTTTGTAGTAACAATCTTGTTTGTGTAAAAAAAGAGAAATAATTTTGGCGACAAATTTTGTTTGTAAAATAAAGACCGATATCTTGTGGTGACAATGGATCAAGGGGCTAGATCAAGACAAACGGGTGCTACTGGTGCCCGGCCAAAGTTAACGACATCTGTAAAACATTATGACAAACATCCCAGCCCTATCTTCATCGAGCCAAGAGAAATAGGAACGTTTAGTATTGACAGCGAAGGAAAGTTTCATCATGATGCCCGGCAGCTGAGAAATTATGTTCCTCCGAGAAATCTAACAGAATGTAGGTTTGATCTGACGAGTGGCATTGAGGATAGTATGATGGAACGAGACGAGACGAACAGCAGAGAGGAGTTTAAAACGTTTCTTCACTGGATTATGGAAAACAAGAACAGTTTTCTGATGGAAAAGCCTGCAAAAACCGACGGTGCTCGCCTAGGAGGCGGGGATAGCCGATTCCACAGGTCGGCCCCGGATTTTGTTTGCACAAGAGGTCTGGTCAGCCGATTGCTCCGTGTGCCTTATCAATACGCCAATGAAGTTGAGTTGTCCGTCATCAAGTTCCGAGGCACGTACTTCTTGTGTGAGATTGATCAGGTCTCCGCGCCAATATACCCCGAGAAAGAGAACATGTACAAATGGGGCTGTAGATTTAAGCAATATGTCACTGCAGACAAAGGAAAAGGGATACCGGATCTGTCAAGACCCATCAAAGCAAACGAGCGATTTTATTCTGTGGTGCGCTTTCAGTTAGGGCAACATTCACTAGTGTGCCGAGGACAGGTGGACTGTGAGGATCCCAGTCGAGAAGAAGGGAATAGGTACGCGCAGCTTAGGATTATAAAGCTCCGAGAAGACAAAAAAGGGAAAGTGAATTTCCTGAGATACAAACTGCTCAGGGCGTGGGCACAGGGCGTCTTGGAAGGGGTCCCGGTCTTTGTGTATGGCTTCTACTCCGAGGAGAACAACGTAAAGGCAATGGTCAAGTCTGTTCGCAGTTATGAAGTGAAGGACATGCCACAGATGGCGCACCACCCAGACGTGGCGGGACCGTGGAAACCACATGTCTGTTGGAACTTTCTGGAAGCTTTCCTCGACTTTGTCAAAGCGAACATCACAGAAGACAGTGAGAACTGGGTCTATGAGTGCCGTAGAAAGCCCAGAGAAGACATAGCATTCGAGAGAAAGAGGAACAGCGAGGAACTGAACTATCTTCCCGACTGGTTCACCAACTGGGGCGCGTGGGAGGACACGGTAAGAGCTCAATCACCCGACGCTCACTAACCCCAACTCCCTCAGCACACGGCCATATAGCTGTCACAAAGAGCAGAAGGGGGGCTCTCGTGGCCTAGAGGTTAAGGTGTTCGCCTCTCATTCAAAGGTCCTGGGTTCGAATCCGGGTAGCGACCAAAACATTTTCTTCTCTAAATTTGTCTCCTTTCACCTCCTTTCCTACTCTCTAGCAATGTTCTGTCGTCTGCTTTCGTCTCCTCTTTCTGCCCCCCACCCCTTCACCTCCTTTGCCCCCTCCTCTGGGCTCCTGATTCTTTCTGCAGCCTTTCTACTGCTACTCATTGGTTTCTTCTTACTGCTGTCTTTCAGCCCAACCCCTGATCTTCTGGTAGGAAAGATCTACACCTAGCCTTCTCGGACAAGGGCGAAAAATCTCGGAGGTCCCGAGTGCAGGCTGTGCACGTTAAAGATCCCTTGGTGGTCTAAAATCGATAAGAGTAGGCTTCGGCCGCCACCCGGGCAAAATTCAAAATTTCCTACCAATTGAAAAAGTTTAGTGTGTCCTGCGCGCTCATATGACCTTATGCAGTTGCGAGCGCCGTGAAACACTTACAAAAACAAAAACAAAAAACACAAAAGAGCAGAAGTGCCTGGGCCTCTATAGTTGCCCAAAGAGCTCAAATTCTTGATATATATTCTTTTGCTCGATAGGCTGCTATTGGTTGACATCTCAATACTAATTCAATGTCCTAAAATTCTTGGTGTTTATAAATTTGATTAATTAGATTTATGAATTCGTAGTCCATTCGTTGTTTTTGTTGTGGATTCTGACACCGTCACCAGACATGCTGACAATTTCGCTATCAATTTGTAGCGTTTGAATGTAGTTACGTACTTAATATGTTACTTGCTGAGTACCCGTTCGATGAACGGACTCAAAAGAATCGATTAATCGATTGTCAAGTCGTTTTCACGCAAGAGAAAAATCAATCTGCAAATTTTACTGATCAATTGAAAGAGAGATGTAGGTATCGCCTGAAAGAGACATTTATATATCACTCGGAAGAGATATAATATATAATAATATAATAATATATAGATTAATTAATCATCTATTCCGCTTTCTTGGTTGTACTCTCCAGAATGTCAAAGGTGTGGAACAGAGCGCACTGCTTGTGAACGGAGGTTTCAATTGTTTACAATGGCGTCTTAGAAGACGGGCTTTCCCAAAATTATGTATATACGAAACTAATGAAAAACTGAAACTTAAACTACAGTGACTTCAGACTGCTCAATAACACTGTGCACCCTTTAAACCATTCTGAAACAGTATTAATGTTTTCAAATTCGAAAGTTAAGTGGTTCGGAAGTTTTAGGAGGCCAAAGTGACGAACGTTCACAATAAATAATACTAGCTGGACTCCCTTTCGGTGAAAGGAATGATCGCTGCATTAACATGAACTGAAAGTCATTGGCCTACTATGTTTAATTTTTACCCTCTACTTGAATTGAGCAATAAATCTTGAGAGATGCAAAAATGTTGCCAGTGAAATGATAGCTGGTGTATTCAAAGGCGTTACGTCTATTCAAGTGTCCCAAGAAAAGCATTTGTTTTTTCCTGATTGTATTTAACCAGTGAGCGTCCTACGTGGGCTTCACCAAGCACTACCTCATTTGATTTATTTTCCTTCCACGATATATTCTCAGTAGTCCCCTAAGAAACCGTATTTCATTTGCTTCTATATAATTTTTACTGTCTTTAGGGATTGCCCAGCATTCACAGCCATATTATAGAAGGGCTGGCCACATATAGCATTTCAGAAATTTCATTTTGGCAGTCATTGAGATATTTCTATTTTTCCGGATTGGGCTCACTTTATTGAAATTATCTTTAGCCTTTGCAATTCTTCGTTTTATGTCTGTGGAACATTTGGCATCACATGTGATCATATCCTCGATATTTAAATTGTTGAACTTGTTTGATCTTTTCGCCTTTACTGATGAAACAACGAATTTTAATAGGATTTACTGCTTTCAAAAAATTACCATGCATTCTGCTTTCTTCCCATTCAGTGACAACCGTATAAGTTCACTTTCCTTTACAACAGTATCCCCCCCCCCTCCCAGGGTGGTGCTACTGACTGAAGTTGTCTTTAGGCCATTCCCAAAGGGGGGGGGGGGTATAAACATGTTCTTATGCACAGTAAAATTGTGAATGGGCTTGTTTGTCATGCTCATACCGTGCCGGATCAACATAGGGGCAACTGCTGCTTCTTCTTTCCTCATTTTTACTATCGTCATTTTATCGTCTACTTCTTTTGTATGGTTGTTACTCTCTTGTGAACTGCTATTTCTGGGGTGCCTTGATAGTCGATGCAGACTTTGTGCTGTTGAGGCTAGAGGGGTGAGCAGAGTAAGCCTGATTCTCCATTTAGACTTCTCTGTTTTATATGCACCACTTGGCGCTCATATAACCTTATGCAGTTGCGAGGGCCGTAAAACCTTACTATAGTGCGGTCAAAAATTCGTGGCGCAACTTATCCTCAAATATCTTTTTATCGGCTGAATCAATGTAACTCATACTTTGCATAGCAGTTTGTATCAATTTGTATTAATTAAATCATATTTTTCCAGAGCAATTGGGGCTAGATTAAAACACTTTTCTTCATAAATTTATATAAAATACTTGAAATCTCTGTCACGCGTAAAATGGTACATGTATTGTTCTTCCCCCTTCCCCCTTCTCACACACATTTTGATTACGCATATGGCCTACGTCACAGCTCATCAATGACAATTTTTACTTGCAAAACTTGTTACAAGAAATTATTTTTATAGTGACACATTTTTTGCACTCATGGCTCTCAAAACATGCGTTCAATAAGCTTAATGTCCCGATTAGAAAAACCTGACAGACTTGCAATTAGAAGCAATATTGCTCTAGCTGTAAACATTTAAAAACTTGTAGAAACCACCCACTCGGATTTTTAAAATTAGTATTTATTAAGGAGTTTTCTAGAATACAGCTTGCTGGTGTTTACAAAATGTTGATCTGTTAAGACAAATTGATACAAGTCACTGTGCAAAAAAAATTGGAGAACCTATGTTCAATAGTTGAGGAGATATTTGACAATAAGTCGCGCCACGAATTTTTGACCGCACTATAAAGCAACAACAACAGTATGTAGAAGCGAGCGCGGGTCCTGCAGGAAAATATTGACAGTGTTACTCGCGAAGTGGTTCCCGGTCCCAGAACCATGTGTCACGACGCGGTGAAATCAGGCGCTCGTCAATTTTTGGGCATATGAGGTTATTGGAATCATCTTAAAGCCTGTTCATTTGCCTTCCTTTTGGTGAAAAAAATATCCATCTATGTTTCTACAGAAGTCGAAATATTTGCTATTGAAGGAGGTCAGAGTCGCCTGGTTTCAGAGGTTAAATTAGCGAGAAAATGGCCGCCAAAGTTTGTTAACTTACATAGCCTCATAGACCATAGTCCTTGGAAACTGAAAATTTACATTTTTTTGTGTCTTTAATCGATGTTTTTCAGTAAAAGCATACAGAAATATGTATGTTTTTAAAAGGACATAACAGGTGTTGAACCAAAAATTAAAGAAGAAAATAAGGAAAAAATTGCCCATCCGTCCAAAAAACCCCCAACCCCAACCCCAATGACGATTTCTTTGACTTCATTATTTTAATGAGCGCCTGATTTCACCACGATGCCTCACATTTCATTTACAGCTGCAGCAAGCCGTCATGAATTCCTGAAACAATATTTTGTAGGAAGACTTGTGTGCTCTGTGCGCAGGAGATGCACTTTTTTTTACCCCTATTATCAATTTATACTCACAAAAGAGACGTTTTTCTTGAAACCATTCCACCTTGATTTATATGTCAGATACGGCAAATCTTAAATTCGTGGTCGAAAAAGTTTGTTATTTTCCCGAAGGAAAGACAAACAGATCGAACATAATATTATAGGGTGGAACCTTTTTTTTTTTTTTGATTGGCAGTATAGTATTTGCTAGTATGTGATTTTGGTGAATTTTTATTGTATGTATTCGTGAGGCACATGTATTGTGCATCATGTTGTGTTGTTGAATGTTTGCATGTTTTCTTAACCCTGACAATCCCCATTCTGCGTGGCCTTCCTCTTCCTTTATAACCTATGTAACGTTGATTAATTTTTATATGTAATCGTGTGATTCTTGTATTATGTTAATATGTGATGCTGATAAATGATTGTATAATACATTGTACCATAAGCACCATCACGTGAACTAAAAAATATGGTGAGAGAGCTTTTTTTTCTGGGCCAACAGTTTGGAACACTCTCCCTCATGATTTGAGGAGCGAAATGAAACTTGATACCTTTAAAAGGGGACTCAAAACACATCTATTTAAGAAATATTTTAATTAATGGACAGTACCTTTGCCTTTTTGTATGAGCATTTTTTATTGTCTGAAAGAATGTTGCTGTCAAAAAGTGCGCACATGATGAATTTGTATGGTGTTAGTATGAATGTGTTTTTAATCTCCTATGTACGCCTTGGGCCCACGCTGAGGGGAAAGGCGGGATACAAATGCTCTTATTATTATTATATATTTGTTTTAGTAGTAGAGGTTTTACAGCACTCGCAACTGCATAAGGTCATATGAGCGCCAGAAGATTAGAGGTGTTACAAGAGAGTAAAAAACATAAAAAGGAGGAGGGGAGATAAGGACGATAGATGTTTGATAGGAAAGAAGAAGCAAACCACACCAGAGCACCCGCCAACCACCCACTTATATATTTATGTGATATTGTGTATTTTGTGGTGTTGATGAATTATTGTATATTAATTATATTTGTGTGATATTGTGTATTTTGTGACATAGATTAATTATTGCATTATTCGTGAGATTCATGTATTATGTATAATTTTGTATTATGCAGTGCTTATGAATAAATAACTGTATGTATTGGTCATTGTAAAACGGCACCACCCCAACCCCCAGAGACAAATAAAAACGATACTTTTATTTTTATTTATTGTATCCTATTGCAC